ATACTTAAGTTACCATAATATTATAAAGTAACTTAAAACATAACACGTATCAAATCTATGTATATTTTTATTATTTAAATATAAAACATATATATCATATTAAATATTACTACCCAAGTTACCATAAAAATAATTAATAAATTACTTTCCTTTTTATATATGTATGTAATATATATCTATATATATATATACATTATCCATGGGTAATAATCCATACACATCCAACCTCCTATCCAAGTAGTCCATGGGACCCAATTGGTTGGCCCATTACTACTAACCATAACCATAAAAGAAAAATAAAATAAAATAATAAAAGAAAAGAAAACATTTAATTTACAATTAATCAAAACACCATTTAAGCACATAATCTAATTAAACAATTAACACATAGACAAATACAAATAATACATAGACACATAATCAAATAATCAATAATATCTAATTCAATTAAATACGGAAGCAATTAGTCAAATAATTAATTAAATAATTAAAAAATACAATTAAAACAAATAAATAAATACCGAGACTATCTTTTTAAAATTAGGGATATTACAATTATTCTCATTTTATTGTTTGATCGTAATATAAAATAATATAAGAATGGAATGATAATAATTATTATAGTGTTCTATTAGACCAATTTTAAAATTTAGAATGAAATGAATTTCAAATTAAATTCTCTAAAATATCTCTCTTAGTGACAAATAAATTAAATTAACAAAATAATGTTTTTCTATAAAGAAAATTAAAAAATAGTAGCATTGGTGCATGGCGGTGACGTTTGTGGTGGAGGTGGAAGGCGACAGTGGTGGAGGTATTGGAGGGAGGTGGTGGTGGTGGTGGAGGTGGAAGGCGACAATGATGGTGGTGGTGGCGGTGGCGGAAGGTGATATGAGTAATGAAAGTAGTGGTGGTGGTGGAAGGTGATAGAGGTGATGTAGGTGGAAAGCGGCGGTAGTGGTAGAGGTAATGGTGACGGTGGTGGAAGACAATGGAGGTGGCGGCGATGGCGGTAGCGGTAGCGGTGGCAGTGACGGTGACAGAGGTAACAGTGTGGTGGTGATGGTAAAAAGCATGGTCGTGGCAGTGATGGTGATGAAAGTGGTAATGAAAGAAAGTAGTAGCGGTGGTAAAAAAGCAGGATCGGCAACGAAATGTTGTCTAGTGGTGAATTTTGGACTTAAAACATTGGATTTTTTAAAACTTTAATCTAGTAAATTAGTTACAAGATTAAAGATTTCCTACCATGAAATGATAGTTTGCCAATCATGATATGTCCCATCACAATAAATACACTTGTTGATGGAACAAGATATTGGGCTTTTGAAAAAATAACATGTCTCTCCAGACCCCCAATATTAATTATTCACGTTAACCCATCTTCTCTTATAAAATGAAACCCATCTGCTGGGTTTTATCAAACACTGGGTCAACTAGTTTTATTTCATTTTAAGAAACCCATGAGGGTGCATAAAAAACACTGCGTACCACGTTTCAACTTAGAACAATGGGTTAGTTTTATAGATACTCCAAATTCCCCCCAAAAGTTATTTATTAATTTTTTTTTTTTCTTGTCGAATATTTCATTTGGGGCCAAAATAGTAATTTAAAATTAACTTCTTTTTTTTTTTTTTTTTTTTCTGTAAGTAATTTAAAATTAACTTCAAAAAATAAAATATAATAGTTGTAACAAATTTTATTTCAATGCATTTTTAATATGTGTTTTCAACATGTCTATATATATATATATTATGCACGCCTATAAATGAGATGAGAAAAAAAGATAAAAGAAAACAGTTATCAACTGTCAAACAATCTTTTTCTTCTCTCTTGAGTACTAATATGTTGTAACAAGAATTACAAAAATAATCCACCTTTTTTTCTAGATTTGAATTTTTAAAAGAATGAATAAAAAGGTTCATTGAATTTCGAAAGGGACCACAAGTAATTTCCTTTGCAAACCATCTTTAATAACCATAAATAGGTACCTATATATAGAAAATGACAAAAAAATATAAAAATAAAAAATAAAAAATAATAATAATCAAAATCAAAATTTGGGGGAGCCAGCTTCAGTTTTTCTATATAAAAATCATCATTAATCACCATAAATATCTACTATTAATAGAATTTTGGAAATTTTTTTGGAGGGAATGGCCACCCACTCCCTCCGCCCTCGCTTACCAATAAGGCCAAATAATGCAACTTCTGTTAGGTTTCCCTCAAGTGCATGTTATAGTCATGTTTTTGGGTAAAGTACATTGACACCCCCCGAGGTTTGGGGAAAGGACAAGCAGAGGAAAGTTAGCATATTTTTGGACAATGACACCCCTTCAAGTTTAAAAAATGGACAAAGAGACCCTGAAGATGGTAAATTGACCTTATTACCCTTTCAAATAAAATTAACATTTTAATTGACTTAAATACCCTTTGATTAAACCCAAACCCGAAACCAAACCCGAACCCGAACCCGAACCCGAACCCGAACCCGCCTGCGTATATTATACAGTTCACCAGAGGAAAGAGAAGGGAGATCAGATGGATGGTGGTTGTGGCCGCGGTGGTGGGTGTAGAGAGAAGGGGAAGAGAGGGGCGGCCATAGTTGAAGAGATGAGGTGAAGAGGAGAGAGAGGAAGAAGCATCGACAATGACTGCGACAGTGGGGGTGGCGGCGATGACTGTGACAGTGGCGGCGAAACCCAGAAGCATCGGCGAAACCCTGAAATTGCCGGCGAGGACCAAGCTCCAATGACGATGCGGCCACGGACTGAATAGTGTGGCGAAGTTTAGAAACCGAGCAACAAGAGGTCGACGAGCAAAAACAATTCGGCGAGGACCAAGCTCCGATGACGACAAGGTTCAGATAAGCACAGTCCGGCGACCGTCACCTGCAAGGCCGAGGAGGCTGAAGTGGCCATCGCTTCTGCCGTCCGTTTTGAGTCCAATTAGAGCCCTTTTCCGTGCAAAGGTGAGAATTGGGGATGGTGATGTGCACAGATGAGAGGGTCATATATATGTGTGTGTGTGTGTGCGTGTGTGTGAGAGAGGGGGAAGAGGGTGGTGGTGGCGGCGGCACCGATCTCATCCTCAAATCTTCCCTGCAGGCTCAAACATCAACTCTTTACCGCTGTCAAGAATGAAAGACGCCGGCGTGGGGAACGTCTCTGTCAATCCCGGTCAAACCCGGCTTGTCCAAGGCCGAGTTCGCCGCCCGAACCGAGGCTGAGCTCCGGCGAGGTCGAGGAGGTGGCAGTGGCAGAGCTCCTTTTTGGCGTCTTCTTTAGTGGGTGGTGATTATGGAGGTTGGGGGTTGGTGGAGATTGGGGGCGGTGGTGACTGGTTGTTGGTGTGTGTGTGTGTGTATGTGTGTGTAAATATATATAAGTATATATGAAAAAGGGTATTTTGGCCATTTAAGTTTTAAATATTTTATAATTAAAATTAATAAAATAGTGAAGGGTAAAATGGACTTTTCACTTGATTTAAGGCTCTGTTTGGAGGGTAAATTTCACAAGGGGGTGTGTTTGTCCAAAAACAAGCCAACTTTCATCTGTCTGTCCTTTCCTCAAACCTCAGGGGGTCTCTTTGTACTTTACCCCATGTTTTTTTACCCCCAGTAATAAATACAACATTATTGCAGGCATTCTATAGCTGGCTTACAAACACAAAGACTCGAAAAAATATAATTTACACTCCTCAAAGCATCACAACCATCTACGCACTTCCATCTTAGCACTGCTAACATGATTTCAACCCTCTTCACTGAACCAACCACTACTGAAAAAAGGTTAAAAAAAAAGACCCTGGCCAAAAGCCAAGTGCTTCAATCTATGGTTTGGAAGCTGCACTCATTCAACATAATAAGCCAGTTTCTCTCCTTCCTCACACAGATTAAGGGAATAGCGGCACCCTGTCCAAACCTTCCAGGATATCCTGCCCCACTACCTACATTTTACCACCTCACTAACTGACCCAGGCATCACTGAAGCAACCCAAAATGAAGAGAGAAGCAAATACCACATATTCCTAGCCACTCCGCAATGTACAAAGATTATCAAGTCTCTCACATATCATCACAGATGCAACACCAGTTTGGGAAATTTTTTGTCTTCCAAACCGAAACATGGGAAGATTGACAACCCTACATCATGTCAAAATCCCTCAGACCTTGGATGCCCACCTTGAAATCTTTGCAAGATCCCACAAACTCCGAAACAGATTTGAAGAACATTCTTCTCTTATGGTCTGTTTGGTAGGAGGAAACAAAAGAAAAAGGAAAAGGGGACGGATGAATAGTTTTTCTATTATTTGGAAAAGGAAGAGAAAGAAGGGAAGACGGTAGTGGAGAACTCTCTCACTTCACCCATTTTAAGACTAGAAGTAGGTAGAAAAAGAGGAAAGATCACCCATTTTTTTCCCTTCCCACTTCAAACCACATCTTTCCATTTATAGCGAGAACAAACACCATCCTTTCCCTCCCTCGTTTTACTCCCTATTCAACCAAACAAAAACAACTGTAAGGACTGCCTCCTTTCACTTTTTCTTTTCCTAGAAATGTGTTTGCCATCCCTCCTACCTTCCCACTTTTTTTCTTACTTATCCATTCCTTGTGGTAAAGGAAGCATTAGCTACTTTGTAACCGTAAGGCACTGGAAAAGCCTAATTCCCCATCCATTGTTATCAGTGTGCTATAAGAGAAAAGAAAAAAAAAAAAAAATCCTCATATACAGGATCAACCCATGATTCTATCTAATAAAATCTGCCTAATTTTGAGTGGTCACAAACTTGTATGTAGTGCACAGAGTATGCGCAGAGTACAAAACAAACTCGTTCACTGACAAAATTCACAAGTAAAGAAGATTGATACTGAACTTTTTATCATGTTTACATCTACAATTTCAGCTTTAAGATTGCTACTGTCAACCATTATATCAAAAGATTATCAGCAAACCAAAATATAGAAAGCATGAACGTAAAAGCACCACCAAAGAAATAGCACATGGTAATTAAAGGAACATTGGCCCAAAATGTAAAGGCAATGATCTATCATGTTTTATTGTTACTTCTATTATTAATAATATTTCCAATACATTCACCCCATAAAATTTATTGCCTTGCAAATTATGATCCAAAAAGAAGCATAAAGCCTCAGAACTCATACAACAGCAGCAAGCAATATGGCAAAGGACACTAAAGATAGAAAATCAGGTCTGGATACATCACCCACTGACGTTTCCGGCAGATACATCATTCTCCTCATCATCACGTTGCCGTATTTTTGCAATTTCGGCTTGTGCCCTCTCTAGGATCTTCCATTTCTGCAATTCCAACTCCCTATGGAAATCCATCCTCATCTTTTCCAGTTCTAGCATCTGCTTTCTTTTACTATTCTCAATCTTTTCATATATGTCACTAAATTTCTGAATAGAATCTGCAACCAGTCTAAAGGAAGCTCCATCATCTCTGCTCCCTCCAATTCTTGTCCTCTTAGGTGGAAGCCCATCCGAATCATAATCCTTACCCTCGGCAGATTCAGAGTTCCCTGGACTATCCCTCATCTCATCCAGTCCATTTGTGCGATTCAAATATACCTTAGGATTCATGAAGACATACTCCCCTGAGTCCACTCCACATGAAAGGCCTGATTGCTGCGGGGAAGACGCCATTAACATATCCATCTTTTGGAAGTACACCCAATTGCTGGTGGCACCTACGATCTCCCCTAACTTCATCTTCGACTTCTTGTATTTCTTTTTCAATGTATCCACACGGTTTCTACACTGTGTGTCAGTCCTTTCAATTTTTGACTTCTGCGATACCTTCTCCGCAACTTCCTGCCATTCCTCAGACCGGAGGCTCTTCCTCCCACGTTGAAGAAACCTGTCACCCCAAGCATCCAATAGAACAAACGTCTCGTGCTCAGTCCAATCTGTAAGTAAATTCCGCCTGCCAAATGATGGCTTTGAGGCGGAAGCAGCTGCAACTGATGGTGCTGGTACTCGAGGAGCAAATTCATAGCTTGATAACAGGCTCTTCAGCTTCCTTTTCTTCTGGTGCCTTTCAATATCAGTATCTTCAACTCTTGTATTATAATTCTTTTGTTTGTTGTCATCTTCATCATCATCATCACCATCATCATCTTCTCCATCATTATCATCCTCCTCATCAACGAGGTCATCATCATCCTCAACTTTAGCCATCTGCTGAACACCATTGTTGTCATTATCATCATCTTCTTCCTCCTCTTCTTCATCAACTTGTTCTTCACCTTCACCGTCATCGTCATCATCATCATCATCATCATCATCATATTGATCACCCAAAGGACGAGGATAAGCCGGGTTTTGTACAGGAAGCTTCTGGCGATGCAAGGACCCATAACCTTCATTCACACCATACTGGTTGGGTGGATACCTTGCATCATCCTCAGCGTCACCCATTCAAGTACAATTTAGGATCAACACCCAGAGGAAATTTGTTTCAAAAAACCTAATTTGCACTCTTCAAGCATCAATTATTTCCTCTTCTTTATTGAATCGAATTCCCAACACAACAAAAATCTATAATTCTTCCACCACCAACACAAAATTGACCCCCAAATTCAAAGTTTTAGTTCCAACTCACCAACCCCACTTTTCTAGTACAACCAGATCCCCAAACAAAACAAACCCCATGACTCACTTCAAGAACTGAAAGAATAAAGGAACATAAAAAAAAAAAAAATATATATATATATATATATATATATACACCCAGAAGAGAAAAAGAACTCCTCGGTCCAAATCAACAATTTCTCCGCTTTCAAATCAGGCATTAAGTGGACCTATTAAATTTTCTCAAGACACCCAATTTCTACTCCATTAAATCAAATTACAAGATGAACAAAACAGTATGATTCTTACCTCAAAGTACGCATTTTTCAAAGAGATCTCAAATTCTCCAACTCTGTAAAATCGAACCACCGAGTAATCACATGAACCCCCAATTCAAGTTTATGCCAAATTGGATATGAATAGAGTGAACAAGGTCGAATTTCGTATAATAACAAAACCCAAATTTGATCTGTACTTGACAATTTCTAGGGTTCTGCAGTTGCGAGAAGAAAAGGAGAAAGTGGATAGAGATAGTACGCAACTGGGAATAGATAAGACCTTCGCCCCTGAGGATGCTAATCAGGAAAGTCACTAAGGTCTGTGTTGTCTCTGTGAGTCTCCGTCTATCGTGCAATGCGTCTCTGGTTGCATCTGGGCCGTTAATCATGTGATCTAATACGAGAGCCCCACGGGACATAAAATGGACCGGGTTGGCTCCTCTAAAGTCTAAACTGGTTCTACCGAAAAGAATAGGGTAAACTACAATATCTCCCCTAATGTTTAGACTAATTACAATTAAATAAGATGTTTGTCATTTGGTATCAATGTCTCCCTGAGGTTTGCCATTTTCGCAGAGACCTCCCAAATAATTTTTTTGTCAGAAAAAAAAATAGTTAAAGTAACCAAATTATCCATCGATTAACTCTAAAAGACCGTATTACCCTTAAAGTGTCATAAAATAACAAAACAACCATGCATTAGTAGCAATATTAATGTATTGCGTGTCCTCTCTATCACCGCCCTATGTCTTTGATGCTATGTGGGTCTATTACGTTCTTGATTGGGTTCCAGATTGGATAAAATACATAGAGATGGGGTAGTTGAAGATGGGTTATAGAGAGAGTGTGTGGTAATTGGTCGACGGTAGCAGCGGCTCCCTCGCCAGCGCCCTAACTCTTCATTGTTTGAGTAAACTCTTGAGCTCCTCTGCACCTCAAAGATCGGTCATGTTTGAAAGTGAGGAGACCCAACTCCATCAACGTGTTCAAGACAGACCCATTCCATCACCAGAATCAATGGAGCTCACCGGATAGCTTGGCCTGACTGAGACGTCATTGAAGTCCATCACCACCACCAATAACTTTCTACTGCAACACAGCCCTATAAAACACCAAAAACCTCCATTTTCACCGTCCACAATACCACCTCATCACTCTTGCTGAAAATTCAGACAATACCATTCACACTCAAATCTGAAAACTCACAAACCATCCCTAAATCTTATACCAAACTATAGACCAAAAACCCTAACCCCAGTTGCACAAACCAGTCGCCAAACCCATACCCAATCAAACTACAATGAACAGTATCGTCGGAATTGTGAATCTTTGCCCACTGATCAGAACCTTGCTTCTTGTTCAATCACGCCGCTAATAGATCATCATCACTGTTATTTCTTACTGTCGTCGCCGCCAAAATCCGATGTGTTAAATATAAAAGAAAGATACTGTTTATTGTATTGATGTGCAAGAGATATGAGATACACATGGGTTTACATAGGTGATGAGATGCGTGGAGAGTAAGAAACTAAATCTTATATGGTAAACCTATACATGGTTATAATATATTCTATAATATATTTTAACAGTCCCCCTCAAAATCAAGATGGATTGAATAAAATTATTTTGAGTTTAGAAATAATTAAAATCTTGAAAGCGGCATGGCGGAAGCAATTTGGTGAAGATTGGTTTTCACCCATAATAAAGATAGAGGCATGATTAATAGCTAACGTGGAACTACTGCTGGCATCGCTGCTAACTGTGCCTGACATGTCAACTGACGTGGCACCGCTGTTGATATGTCTTGGAGGCTGATTGGGTGACCAAATAAAGCTTTTGCTGATTATGAGCTTGAGACTAAAGGTTGGGATGTGGAAGAATAAGTTTGAAGGTTGATCGCCGATGGTTAACCGCCAGGGATGGGGCTGATGGTGCCATCCCCGGTGGTGACTGCGATAAACTGATAAGATTGTTACCAGTAATCGAGAGGCTCTGATACCATGTTAGAAATAAAGAAAAGAGTATAGAAGAACTCTGTATTGTATTGATATGTAAGAGATATATAAAAGAGGGGTTTATGTAGGAGGGGTTATGTGTGATGAATAAGAAATCTAAACCCTATATGATAAACCTATACATGGTTAGAATATATTCTACAATCTAGCAATAATATATTCTACAATATATTCTAATAGTCACCATCGTTAGTTTCTCATCGCCAACGTTGAGCCACCTCTGGTTGTTGCTAGGAGTTTCCTGTGGTCGTTGATGTGTTTTGTTACTGTGTAAATCGTTCGGGACAGGATATATAAAGATGAATCTCGTCGTGACGTTTGGACTATTCTCGATTCCGACACAAGTGGCAGCGGTTACGGTTGTGTTGAAGAGAGCGGTAGACAAAGAGACTTAAAATCAAGAGTGAGATTATGGTCGCCATGGTGAACGAGGTGGTGGTCATGAGGCCGTTGAGAGAATGAGATGAATAGTGGGAAAAAGGAAAAAAATGTAGTAAATATTTTTTTTGGGCAAATATTAGTCGATAAAAGGGTAATTATTTATTTCTAGATATTTTGTTCATTCTTAGTAATATAATAATGAAGGTATATAAGTAAATTCATAACCAAATCTGGGGTGTCTTTGCAGCAAAATGTCAAACCTTATGTTTAGTTGCAATTAGTTCAAACTTCAAGAAAGGTCATTGTAGTTTAGGTGTCATCAATGGTCTAAATATGTATAATTTGTCAAATTTTCAATAGAAGTTTGTGTAAATTATCCATAGCTAATTCCAAATCTATACCTATAGCGTATTGTATTAACACGATCCACATATGAATTTGGATCCAACTTGAATCATATAATTGATGGTTACTCCAAATAAATCCAAACCAAAAACACTAGTGGTTAATCATTATTTTAACCAAAATTTGAGCCTCCATCTTTTTATTATCAAAGGAGACGATATACCATTAAGTCACAAATTTTCATTAAATCTTGTACTTGCAAATCTACTTTAAAGAAAATTATGCATATCATTTGACAAGCCCGATCCATTCATAATTAAAAGGGTCTAGGTTTATTCTAAAACTAAATTAGAAAAAAGATTGAGAAGGGAGCCAAAGCCATTCTCTGAACTCACCCGATTTAAATTTAAAAATACACACACATGACTATTTATTATTTGTTTTTTTTTCCCTTATCATTATTATTATTTTTTTAATTTTTTTTAATGATATTGCATTTGTTTTGTCATCATAATCAATTATATCTAATTTTTAATCCTTAATAAAAAAGAATAATTTATTCATTTTAATAATAAAATTACTATAAATACACGTTATAAGTGTAAACACGCAAGAACTTCAGTAATTCTAATAAAAATAAAATTTTGTTTATTCACGACTCTATGATGCACCACAGTGAACCCAGGTCCGACTATGGTGTATCAGAGATTATGATTTTTTACTCACTTTATTCTAGCTAGATTTAATTTAATTTTATTTATTTTTTATTTTTTTAAGTTAGAGAGTTCACTAATGTAAAATAAATTTTATTCGATATGTTGAAATGCTAATTTAGTAACATAACTTTTACTATTAAATGTCTTGAAATGCTAATAATGTCATGCACGCATTAAAGTGAAATTGTTATATTTTCAGGTATGCTAATCAATGATCCATTGATGTAGGTAGTGCTATTGAAGTTGCCTGTTAGACATGCTATTGGCTTAACTGGCTCTAAACCCTCTTACGTACCTCATATATGTCGGGAAAAAATTCTCTCCAGCTACTCTCTCACTGGATTTGTAACGATCCGAAATTAAGGGCTATGACAAAATAAGGTTCGGAAATCATCCGAATAAATTATTAACAATCATCCGATATAAAAACCTATAATCCATTCATTGTCCCAAATATACTTAAAGAACCTCAAACACACTTTCGCTGCGCTACTCCAATAATTATTAACTTAAACACATCACAATCATCTACAAAACAAAATCTGCGCTGCAACTACTTAAAAAATTTGTAGAAAATTCATTTAAAATCGAAACGGAGCAAACGAAAATGATTTATAAACTAAACTCAAAGTCAAATACAGTTGAGCAACTCACAGAGGCTGAAGATTTTCCAATTAAATCAGATTTGAGAAGTAAATCAACAGTACATAGTTCGAAGGAAATCTGGGTAACAAATACTTCAGAAATTTTAGAAAATTCGTTTAACTTCCGAATTGGGCAAAGTAAATTTATTTTGACAATAGACTTATGAAAGAATAAATTTGGAAGTTTTGATAAAGATCCAGTGTCAAGAAGTTGATCAAATAATTTATTTAAAATCTATTTTCCAGCAGCAATTTAAAGATGGACAGCAGGTACCATCGAATTTTTAGAAAAGTATCTGCTGATCCAAAAATTACGAAATTTTATGGAGAAATAATAGATACATAAAGTAAGTTATGGTAAAAATTTGAAATCATTTGGATCAATACAGCTCCTTAGAGAAATTATTGATATCAACACAATACAAAATATTTGTTTATCCCTAAATACCCACTTCATGCTACAACTCATATGAGGGGTAAACATCTATCTCTAAAATGTCAATCAAATAATTTAAATACAACATCATCATATGAAATCCACAATTTCTAGAATTTACATTAAATTCTTCAAATTAGTTTCTAACAAGCATTTCATCAAACAAATTGTCTACATGAACAAGATGGTGAGCATTTCTAGCAACTCCAATTTTTCCTTTGGTTAATGAAACCTACAATGATGGTAGGGTGAGATTAGAAGTCCCAGTAGAAAAAATCTAATATGTGTTGCTATGGGATTTCATACACAAAAGGGAAATGCTTCATATAAAAAAACAATCATACGAATTACACATGTAGGAGCATGCTTAGAACAAGGAGCATAGAACAATTATGAAGGAATATGAAAATTGAAACAAGGACTAACCCATGACTTTCAACAAGAAATCAGAATCTCAGCAAATGAAAATGATTTAGAAACTAGACTCAAAGTAAAATGAAGCCATAATTGTTAAATGCTCAAGGCGCACAAAAGCGCAAATGCTTCCTGGAGCCGGAGGCGCAAGGCGCAAGACGAGGTGCGCACCCGACTGAGACAAGGCGCACGTTGAAAAAATAAAAATAAAACCCACCCAATAAAGTATTAAAGATGCAATAATATATATAAAGATGCAAAAGTTAACTAAATGAATTAATTAAGTTCAATATTACAGTGATAAAGCTTAAGGTTTCATCATGTATCCACATTGATTTTGACTGCATTGAGTCATAATAGGAGTAAGTGATTGTTAATTTCGATATGTT